TCTCCTGCTCTACTACTTAGCTTTTCTTTCTGGGATAGTCAAAACGTAAGAAGACAGGGATGTTTGTGGATACAGACACCAGAACCTGCACAGCTGCAGCACACACCAGCCTCAGAGGTCACCAAGCTCTAGAATGAAGTGACCCAAGAACCACAACCCAGAAAACTGGTAGGAGACCACTTCGTTCTGACTTTGCCTCCCGTCTCCAACGCTCAATGCCGCTTTAGATGTTGCGTACCTTTAAAGACAGATCATGCACTTTTCATTGTAAATCCAGCTCAGACTGAAGTCTTTTAGGAGCCGGATTCCTTTTTCCTGATGAGTAGTCAGAAAAGTGAGTAAAATTCAGTTTTGCATGGTAACAAAAAAATACATTTGTGTTTATTTGTTCTCTCTGGCTTGCTTTTGTCTCGCAGAATCACGTCCTTCGTCCTTACAGAACCCTTGCTTCGTGCTTTTATACTCATGCATATTCTCTCTCTGCAGCACTAAGATGGGAGATCTGGCTCAATACAACCACATGCAATTACTGCTGGAATGGTACTAGCTTGAATTCTTTTTTTTCCCCCCATTCTTCTAAAAATCTCCGTTTAATCGCTACGTTAGTTTTGCTCAGCGAAGGCCGGGCGCTGCCGCAGCTCCGTCCCCTCCTGCCGCTGTGCCCCCACGCGGCAGTGCTGCCCCACGGGCACGGACAGCAAACCAGCCATCCCGCTCGGCTGCGCGGGAAACCTTCCCGCTCTCCTGACCAAGGATTTCCGCGAGCCGACGCGAGATACTCTAACCGAGGTACCGCGCTTAGGTTCTGAAACAAAACATGCCTGAAAGGCCGAAAAAAGAGGCCGCCGAAGTGTCGTTTGAGTAGTATGTGTTTTCGGAGTACGGTGTTTCCGAATCACGGCGCCTTGGTCTATGCAACCAGAACGGAACCTCCGTAAGGAGCAGGAGCTGCTGTAGGAAAAACACGTGAAACAGTGCTCGCCCTTCTGGGCGAATCTCCCCTCTGTATCATGGGGGGACGGTTTTAGAAACTGAGTATTTAATAATAAAGGTTCTCAGACTTTGTAAACGTAGTTTGGAGACGTTTTGTGCTGGCGTGGTTTTATCTTTGTATTTTTACCTTGTATTTTCTTCTTTTTTGGCAAATAAAGGACTTTTGAATTTAAAAAGTAAAACCTGTCTTGTAGTGGTGGAGTGTTATTGTTCACTTCATCTCCAGCTGCTGTCCCAAAATCACCTTCCCTGCTGCTGCTGAGCTCACACCATCCACACCATGTCAGCAAGCCTGCCAAAGCCGAAATTCCAGGCTTTCTTCTCAAAAATACTGGGGACGAGAAGCAATCCTACCACTTACCTTCCTCACATCTTCATCCTCAACACAGAGCACTACCCATGTGCTGGCTTGCCGAGATGCCAAGCTCCCTCGTTTTAACCTGTCCTGAAAAAAGAGACAGGTGTCTCCTGGATCGTCTGCAAGTGGAATGAAGGGGCTGGGGAGGCGGGGAAGTAATGCCTTTTCTGATTTCATTACATGCAAACACTGAAGCAGAATCACCGCGTTACCGTATTACTCCATCCGTGAGACTGACGGGTCAGTGTTCCCCCAGGTGCCCAACTCTGTACCAAGCACGGTCACTTCTTGGTGGGGGCCTCTGGGCTTCTTTAAAATGCCAGAGGCGCTTCCATTTGAAAAACTGAACAGGTAAGACCAAAGATGTGCTTGCGACCTTATCAGTACTACTTTAAATAATATCACGTACCTTTCAGACCGAATTTCACCAGCCCTGCCGCGTACTTGCAATGTCTCTAACATACAAAGCAGTTAGTTTTTCATCATTTCACTTCTTAGAAAGTTAGTGAGCAAGCAAAAGCTTTTCTATGATTTGTATAAAAATTAAAAACATCTGGGGGTTGTGCTTGTTGCATATAGTAAAAAGACACTGGAATTCTGGACCACGCCAGAATCTTTGCACGATTCATGTGCCACATCTGTGCAATATTCCCAAAAGTCCATCGGATTCATTGAGCCAGCAGCTCCCTGCCGTGCTGAAGCACCTGCCTTGGAAAGCAGGCTTTTCACGGCTTATTTCCCACTGCTGGTAGGCTGCAACTCTACAGGCTGCTTCTGACAATACACAATTTTATGGTGCTCGCAAGAGCAAGCCATCCTGGAAGATGTAACGAGGACTCAAGTGGAAGCTGCTTTTTCTTTCTGATGCAGCTCTAGAAACCACAGGATTTTATTAAAGTTTGGAAGTTAATCGCTTTTTCCGAGAGGATTGGGAAGAAAGCTGAAATACCACACGTTTCCTATATGAAAAGAAATCCCCAAGCAGCTTCTTCTATACTGACGCCAAGCACAGTTCCCCAAATCCTGGAGGAACTGTTGGCGGAACACCAGGTCGATGGTAGACAGGGAGCTCCCGCCAGCCCTGCCCAGGCGAAGCTGGTGCTGAAGTTACCACCATGACCGCTCTCCGTCAGCGATTCCCCAGTGCTTCCCCACCTGCGGGCAGCAGGGAGCAAGTCCCTGCTGTGGGCTGCGTGGGACTGAGCTCTCACCCAACTGACCACAGCGGCCGCTGGAAGGTCCCAGAACAGTATTGCTGCTCGTATCGCTACAAAACGGACACCGACGCTCCTCCAACTCCAACCACTGCAATTATTTTCAGCATCATGATCCTTTCCATTGCTCAGCTTATTCACCAACAACTAGCCAGGAGGTGAAGAAAACCAAACCGAGCCAACCCTAATTTAAACAATTACAGAATTAGTCATCAACGGACTAAGTGGTGTTTAAACAGGAAGTTCAACATATGCCAGGCTGATGCCCTTAGCAGTTGCAAAATAGAATTAGAAAGCTAACATTTATTAAATCAATTTAAATTTTAATACACATTTCAAGAAGGTGGCAGCATAAAGGAAATGTTCTTAGAAACAACCTGAATCTACCGTTTGCCATTTTACATCAACGATCAGGGCTCTCCTGTTGACGGTTCCACAACACACTTGACCTGAATTCTCCAGCTTTCGGTACCATATGTAATGCAGCAGTGAGATAGTAAAGATGCCAAGTACTCCCATGTTTCTGGAGCAAAGGTACTGTGTATTTAATTTAATTTAATCAAAGTCCTAATAAACGTGCCATCAACAATCTCAGCAAAACTTAACAGCTCTGCAAAAGCATTCAGAAACAACCCGTGCTGTGCAGTGTGCTCCCCTGAAGTCAGACCCCGGTTTGGCGACTTTTCTTACACGTAGTGGACGAATAAACAGATTTACATTAGCAGGTCACGATCAAACCACCAAACTGGGAAATGGCAGGAGCCTTTTGGGTCAACACAAAAATCACATACAAGTTTAACTAAATACATTTTAATAGGACATCGTTAAATCTCATGAGGGCTAAAAACCACAGATCTTAGGTACTCGGGTTGGCAAATAAAGACAAGAATACTAAGAAGCATTTTCCACCATTTACTCATTATCAAAAATATTTTTCAACTCTTCTTGCAAAACAAAAACAAAAAAGTACAGACCGGACACGTACATCACATTTTTCTTCCTATGGCTTTAACCCCCCACCCTACCCACCCCACAAAAAAAGACGGGGGGAGAAACAAACCAAAACCAACAAAAAAAGATCTGACCACATTCACAGAAAATGACACCATGGTACACTACAAAACAAAAGGAGGTGTCATTTGTGTCCAAAGGTTTTTGCTTATTTCTTAGGTGAGGAACCATCACTGTACATGCTTTGTGCCAAATCAAAATACACCTAACGCCGGGTCAGAAAGCGCTGCGGGATTCGGTGGGTGGATAAAAGGAAAGATGGAAGCAGTGAAGTAACTCAAAGAACTCACGTACTATTTAACATGCTGTTCAAACAGGAACTGCCTTTTAAATCAGAAAGTAATGTCTTGTGTTCTAGTCAGCCCATGTTTAATGTGTGCCGTATCGCTCGAAGAGGAGAACACTCTGCTTTCACAAACTAGTCTGACTTCTTTTTAGGCTGCCAATGAAGCCTTAAATGCAAAACTAAATTCTTCTGCTTGTACCCTTATTTAGGGTTTATGCCAAAATAAACTTTTTGCATAAAGCTGAATTCCTACAAAGGTGCTTGCTTTTTTAACGCTTTTTGAGGAAAGCTCTTTGACAGCTTTGTGTTACTTTTCCATTTTAGGGCCTTTCAGCCCAGGCTGAAAAGCAGTGACCTTTGAAAGCTGCTTTCAACATATTAGAGAAAAATGAGATGGATTCTGGGTGGAGTGGGTTATAAAGCTTATTCTGTCTGAGGAACATTAAAAATATTTGACTTTTGATAGGAATCGATCCTCTGTTCCAGCTGAAAGACACCAGCCAGGGAAGACTTGCCCTCAAGGGGATGGGTCCCAGGTCTACTGTGGGACAAACTTAATGGAACGAACAAACACACACGCCCCCCAATGCCAATAACTGCTGCAGAAGTCTCTGTACCTCACGGACACTGACTGGCAGCAGAGAGGGGGACATCCACCAAGGAATCTCTCTGTGACCCACAAACCCCTCTCTCTTTTCTGGAAGCAACAGCAGTATAATCAGTAGAACTCCAAAAAAAAAAGGGGGGAGGGGGGGAGAGCAGAGAAAAGGAGAGAATGGTGCTAATACAACTTGAGCCTTCCTTGTGTACAAGCAATTTTCTCGCCCCAGCCAAAACAGTAACGTGTCAGACAAGCAGAGTTGGCACGGAGGGCACAACACATCAGGAACGTGACCTGTGGAATTGTCAAGAAAACAAAGAAAAAAAGCATGATGGTGTTAGGGGGATGGCGTATCCGAGTCAGCAGCCTGACGTTCCTATCTAACCAACTGATCTTCCTGATCCTTGTCTGGAGACGGAGCTGCTTTTCGGGCTATCAGCTTTCTCGAGATATTACTCACCTTTTTTATTTTTGAGCTGTTCCATAGAGCAGATAGCCAATCCTCACAATCAGAAATTACCTGCCCTTTTCAGACTGTATTCCCCAGCTCAGTGCTGCGTTTCCTACAGGAATATGAAGTGATTTTCTAGTCGTGGTGCCTGGAACTCATCGGCAATTACTTTTCTACATCATAATCTAGCACAGTTTAGATGGACTAACTAGATACCACTTTTCTACGTTTAAGCAGAAGCTTTGACTGAGCACAAAGCATGACCAAGTACAATGAGGTTAATATACTCCTTGCCAAAGATCTTGTGATAAAATCATTTACATCAGCAATTGATCTCAAAACTATGAGGTGCTGTAAGAACTAAAAAACAGTTTTAGGGTAACTCCTCCATTATCTGCAACTATTTCCCAGACACTAATACACATAACATAGCAATGAAAAACACTTGATACAAGTGATCTAAACGCAGGAGCTCCAGCAAGTTAAACAGAACCATAGCTGCCTTAAAACTGTAGCAGTTCCCCTACTGACGGCAGGGAAAAGAACGAAAGAAAAGGTTCAACAGTCATATCTCATGTCTATAGCTTCATCCAAACTTTTGTCATCGTGTGTACTGGCAGCTAAAAACGTAGTTACTGGTGACCCTGTCACATTGATTACACTGGTGCTTGTGCTGGCATTGCGCACCGCAATGCTTGTCACATTAATGCCCAAAGTAAGCCTAGTCTGCTCCAAGGCCTTTTCTGGCACTGCAAACGCCTCCAGCTTCTTCTCCCCGTTAGCCATGTATGAGTTTTGGCAGCCACGGCATATGCAGTCAAGGCAGGCTTTGCGGTTAGAATAGCAAGGGCAGCGTTGGCCACGGCATGTAAGAACACTTGGATTTTGGGTGGCACGACCACATTTACACCCTTTCTTTTCCTGGGGCTTTTTATACACAGTTTTTGTCGGGCTTCCTGGCATAACGTTACTGCTAGGGACTTTCTCCTTTGCTTTGTCTTTTGTTTTCAGCACCCCCGGTTTGGCTTTCGGGTGAGATTTCTTAGGGGCATGTTCTAAATTCTTTTTCATGCTTTTGTTAGACAGGAGCACAGTTTTACTGATTTTGGGAGTGGTGCCTCCGTTAGGTACAGTTGCAATAGGCTGCAAAGACATTTTATTTTCCTGTTTCACTGTGACAGGAGCCGACGCTCCCAGTGTTGGGCCACAGATGATGCTGGAAATGGGTAGAGGTTGAACCTTTTCACTGTCACTTTCTGATCGAGACCGCTTTCTGTTTAACTTAACTACCTTCGGCGTCGCCGCCGTACAGGAGATCCCGTGAGGAGAAGCATCTGTGGACATGAAAATGTTATGGCTAAGAGGTGGGGGGGAAAGCTGCAGGAAAGGGCCGTTAGTCATGTTTGTTTCCAAGCTGGGCTGCAAATTAGAATCACAGACTTCGGTATTGGAAACGGTCTCCAAGCTGCGGAGAACCTCCTCAACACTAAGGAGGAGCGAGCCGCCCGGTTTTATATCTTCACTGAAACCGCAGATGTCAATGCCTGTCGTGCACAAGTCACTGGTAGAAACTGTATCACACACAGGCTGCAGGCTGCTAGAGATGTCTTCAGTTTTTATATACTCTCCAGTACTACAGACATCAATCGTGTTCGTGTGTTCAGGAGAAGGAATATTCACTCCGAGTTTATCCACCGAAAGCCCGTTACAATTGGGCAACCCGTTGATAACAGAACCTCTGATATCGATGTTGTGTGTGCTTTCCGGTATCGACGTGAAACTAGCTGGAGGATCAGCTGGGAGTTCCGAGGTGGAAGGTACTGGGGAATGTGTCAAACACAAAGCCAAGGCTGCATCGGAAGATTTTTCTGTCTCTTCGTGGAGCGGCGATCCATCTTTGAGCAAAGCCAAAAGGTCTGCGGAACAATCGACTGCTTGGATAATATCTCGAGCCAGCGGAGTCTGCGTTATGTACTCGCAGAGTTTCTTATAGCAGTTCACTAAGATGCTTAGCTGCTTATTCTCCTCAAACTGTTCGTAGTCCTTGCACCAGCTACATGACGGTTTCATCATCATCTTCTTGCCTTTGCAAGTTTTGCAGACATAATGCTGACACGTGGAGTTGGTAGGAGCAATAGGGTCTTGTAGCAAATTTCCTAAGGAAAAAAAAAAAAAGAGAAAGATTACAATGGACTCAAGTCAGGTTTCCAGGATAGTATGGGGTGAATTTTTTTGTACTATCAAAAAAAAAAAAAAAAAGCCTGAAAACATTCATTAAGTCACAAGAAAACATACCATCCAAACAATAGCCTGTAAAAAATCGTCACAGCTGCCATATCTGGTTCTAAAACAACATTATATTAAAAAAAAAAAAGCAGAAACAACCATCACACCATAATTTGTTGTTGCTACAGCCTTTAGAAACAAGTCTTAACTAAAACATTACCAGTCCCCTTGTCCCCTTCAGCAGTTTCTTCCATTGAAACTTACAAAACACACACGATTTCTATGAATTCACCAAAAGTGCAACAACAAACTCCGGTGAAGAGCTACTGCAGAGACCTTAATGAAACTAGTGGAAACAAATGGCTACGGAGCAGAGGGAAACTCGGAAAGGAATGTAAAAATGATGAAATGTCAACCCCAAAAGCAGAAAAAGACACAGCAGACTTTGTTTTGCTTTTCATTTAGTTGGGACTAAAACCAGAGCCTAGCTTTGTCACAGTCAATGCCGTCAATAAAGCACAGAGGTTTTAACTTTAACTCAAGCAATGAAACCAGTTAAATAGATCCCAAGAATTCTTACAAATACTGACTAAACCACTTAGTAATAGATTGGAAGAAAAATGGGGGGAAGACTACTATATCACTCCCTAGCAGATTACTCTTGTGCTAAACCAGACGGTGCAACAAGGCGACTACTGACATCTCCTGGGGAGTGGTGGCTCCCGGTTTTCCAATTCACTGACACGTTTCAGGGAAATCACACTTAAACCAGTGGTACTGTCATGGCCGTGACGCTTAAACACACTGAAGCGTCAACAACAGCTCATGCCCTGGGCAGGAGTGAAGAAATCAGAAGATAGTATTTTCTCTAAAACCTTGCTGTTCAGAATGGAAAGCTAATAAATATCAGTCGGAATTTATCAGTCATGTCTCCAGATCTCTGAAACCGTAAAAACCTGGGAGAATGATTTTGGTTTTCTTTAAGGACAAACCAAATAATGCATAAAGATAAAATACGAAAGAACAGAGGCAGCTGAAATCCTGCATAGATATAATCCAACCAGTAACTATATCCAGAAAACGACCATATTGCTGTGCTATTTCTAGGCCAGGAAGACATCCTAACACTTCAATTAAATTTCAGAGTATCTATAGTAATCTACAGCAACAGGTTTCCCTTCCTTCCCAAGCGGCAGATTTCCAGCTTTGATCAGGCCTCTCTCCCCATACGGAGCCTTTGCTGGATGAGTTACCACCATCAGTGGATTCTCACCCAGATTTTCCAAAGGGAAAGCACGCTGTTACGGACAAGCGAATAAAATGAAACTATGTGGGAAGAGAAAGCACAGTGCATGTATTAAAACAGAGCGAGCGTATCAAATTAAAGATATTTTCTCTCATTGCTCCCTTGCCACAGAGATTTTAATCGCACGGACCTTCCGTAACGATTCTCATGAGAGTGCTTTGAAGGGATGTCATTAACTGGACTTTTCTTTGCTAATCTGATGAGGAAGGGCTGACTGAGGAAGGGTGATTCCACAAGACCCCACCACGAGAAGACAAGCTCTTCAAGTTAAGCAGTGAAGACTTAAAGCCAGCAGGTGGAACATGAAGCCACGCAATCCAACATGCAATGGAATTTTTTTTTTTTAAATTTTATTCCAAAGACAGTATTTGAACAGCAAGGCAGGCAGATACGTCCATCATGGTCCTAAGACTGGATGTGATTTTATGAGAAAGGTCCCATCATGGTCCTAAGACTGGATGTGATTTTATGGGAAAGGTCCCTAACTCCCATGGGGAAAAACAAAAGCAAGCTGTAAGTCTCATCAGCTACTCTCAGAAGTCATGTCCTTCAGCAGAAACAGTTCACAACTGTCCGTCCCTTCTGCATCTTGGGTCTTTCTGAGGAGACAAGCAGAAGGCCAAGCCCCAACCAAGGCAGGAGGCAAACACACCGAATGCCTGTTCATTTAATGCTTTGAGACTTCGAACACCAACACTACGTGCAACCACAGCGCTGCCAGGACTGAAGCCCCACCAGCATCCATACCCAATGACACGAAGCAGTGGGCTGTGCTCCTTGGTCCATCCTTAGCCTCTTTTTGCCACTTATGATGATAAGCAGGAGTTATGACGATCAATGCTTTACAGATTACGAAGCACTAAAACACTTCAGAGATGAGACTAAATAAACAATATACCAATTTAACTTTTAATTAGATTAAAAAAAAGTCATCACCAACTGTGCATTTTGTTTCTCCCAAAATAAATTTGGCTGCAACTGCTGAATGCTAAAAGAGGATACCGAAAAATTTAAATTTCCAGAAGATTTGAGGGGAAACAAAACAGACAGAAAGACAATACAAAACACTTTACATGCTCTCACTGAAGGAAAGAGCGGAGCGAGTTCTACCCTCAGTAAATACCAGGCAACCTACACAGGAGAGATATCAGAAAAAAAAGAATATTTTCGGCTTGAGCTCATATCTCATTGAATATTCATTCTTCAGTCAAAGTTTCTTTCTCAGATGGATTCTGTGGCACCTATCACTCTCTGCAGCTGTAGTATCATTAAGCTAAAGAAAAAAAAAAGTCAACCATGAGAAGCAAACCCACAGAAAATTATGTTTCACTACTTTTAATACTCAGGGAATGGTATTAAGTCAGCACCACTGTCCCAGAAACACACCACCTGAGCTGCTCCTCACAATCTGGAGGTACTAAGCTCTGGGATGTTCCAAACTGCTGGATTGTACAGGCTCCAAAGGCGTTAACACTCATTTGATGCTGCAAATTACCAGCTCTTCCCAAAATATTAGGAACTCCACCATGAAAATAAAGCTGGGAAGGGTTCTGAGACATTACCTAGCCCATCCTCCAACTCTTAAGTATAACTATACTGAGTTAGAGCAAAGATCCATCTAGGCCACCAGGCTGTCTTGCCAGTGGCCCAAAGCAGGTGCCTAGGGCATAGAGTAAGAACAAGGCAAGCAAACTCTTAATACTTGCCCAGCTTTTAACCATTTCGAATGTCATCTGTCACAACAGGCTTTGAGAAGAAGTTCTCTGGTCACCTATCCGTTGTGCTGGGAATGACCTTGTTGGTTCCAACACGACTCTTACTAGTTTCACTTGACCATCTCTGGTTCTTGTGTTGGACGAGGCAGTCAATTCCCATCCCTCTCTTCCACACTACTCCTGGTTTTATAGACATCTACCACGTGACCCTTCAAGTTGTCTCTGTTCCAGACTGAGTAGTTCTAGCTTACTTAGCTAGAACTTGCTCCTCATCACCCTTCCCCTAACTCTTCCATGGTTCTTTTTTGAGATGAGGGGACCACAACTGCAATGATGTAAGATACAGGTGAACCACAGCTTTATACAATGCCATAATAAGCTTCTCCACTCTATTTTCTGTTCCAGTTCTGATTTTTAGCATTTGCTTTGCTTTTTTGGTTGATACTCAGTACTGAGCTGATATTCTCATGGAGTTTTCTGTTGCAAGGCCAAGATCTCACTTTTGGCTGGTGTTACTACTTTCTATACATTTTCAAATTCATATAGATCTGCAAGATACACAAACAGTGGGCTCTGAGAAGTTAATGTTTTTCCATGCTTATAATTTAATTATTTATCTAAGCTAAATTTAATTTGTCATTTTATTGCATAGTTATTCATCCATGTAAGATCCTTCCACGATCACTCAATGCAGTCCTTCATTTCTACTACCCTAAACAGCTTCATATTACTAAACTTTGCCTCATCTTTTCTCATCCTCTTTTGTGAGGGGTGCATTAATACACCAAAAGCAAAACCATGTTCTTACACAGCCTCCAATAAAAGGCTTTCCCTAAACACCCGCTCTTAATTATCTTTCAGAAAGGTTGACTAAACATCTACATTAATACAAGCACTTACATTTAATAAGCTGCATATACAAAGGAAATACTTTTAATATATTATTTACAAAACATCACAGCTGTCCTGGAAAGGCTGCTACCAGGAGGGAGGTCATTTAAACCGCAAGGAATACTTCCTATTGTGTTCCTTAATGAGCATTACTTCACAGCTGCAGGAAGAGGGGAAGCATCTGCAAATTGTATCTCAGAGACCAAAGGGAGGAGAACAGTTAGGTGTGTATATCCAGCAAACGTGCTCCAAATGGATGGAATTCACTAAGACAGACTTGACTCCAAACAGGTCACCTCATTCCATTCTCATCTATCCTCAGCAAAGGCAGAAAGATAATGCCCTGGAAAAGGGGCTAAACACAAGGAATTCATTTAGCACCCCTGAAAAGCCTTCTGAAACATAATAAATTACCTTTTCTAACAAATCAAAGTCTTAAGAATGATGTAACTATTAAATCTTAATTTGGGGAAGTAAACTAGAAAAAATTATGATGTCAAATTTTGTTACAAGTAAAAGTACAAATAAACATATCACTGGGGTTAACCTCCAACGTTTGTCTGCCAAAGAGTCTTTCATCCTGGGCTGCGTTCGTATCACCAGAAATCACCCTGGAGTTACAGCACGCAGCAGAAAGCCCAACAGCTCAGCCCTCTGCTCCTTTCCCTCTCCTCCTGACCCAAGTGCCATATCTGCTTCCCAACAGCAGTGGGATTGGCATCTGCGAAGCAGGGGAGCAGATGGCAAGAAGGAAGGTAAGAAGAAAGCTCGCCCAGTTAATCTGTTAACATCAAACATTGCAGGGACCATGATTTCATCTTTAAACCAAGGATTACAAAAAACTTCTACGAACTTTGGGTTTGTCGGATAGAAGTTCTACAGCTTTGTTATCTAGCAAGTTTAAAAACCAGGAAGCCACAATCAATCTGACGCAGCACACATATACTTCTGTGTTACACTTCATGTATGGCGAGCACCTCAAAGTAATAGCCAGAAGCTGGAGATTTAACAGCGGGACTGCTACAGTTTCAACATTTCCATTTCTGGATTAAACATGATCTGACTGTTTCTATTAGCAGTAGGCAGTAAGTTCTAACAAACTGCTACATTCAAGCCTCAGAGTTAACCACCTCCTGAAGGATGGGAGTTAAGTCTTACCAACTGGTGACACCACTGATAGGCTGTTTGAAGTTCAGCTATCCAGCTAC